AACTTCTATAATACATTATTGTTTTATTAAGGTAAGAGATATCAAGTAAAATTTTAGCAAAAAAAAAAAATATATCAAATAAACAAACTATAAAACTCCAACAAAAATATATTAGGCAAATGGCGATAGATTTAGTGATAAATCCAATATATACTCCTTTTTTTCTCAAAAAAAAATCAAATATATATTTCAGAATGTTTACTAATGCATAGCAAACCATTATAGAAAAGAAAAAAAAATCATCAAATTATTCACATTTTTATAAATATATCTTATTTTGAAAACTAAACTGTTCAAAAATACAACTTTCAAAATTTTCATATCGAACTTGTTCTTGTGTTTGTTTGTTAAAGCTCATAACGAAAACTTATTATTTTACTTGTCCAATAATTTAAACAAGCATATTCGCCGACTTGTGTCCGCTCATTCCCGTAGAGACCACTTGCCACTTCCTGCCATCATTGATGATCACCATTAACAATTATAGTAATCGTTCGTTACTTACCCGAAACTATAGAAGAATGTATCGTCAATATCTAAAAACAAAAAAAATTGTGAACCACTAATCCGCTTATCCGCATTGATAAATTCATAAATTAATCTAGGTTTGAGTACTGATGACGATTGTAAAATTTGTAATGTGTTCAATTTGTCTTCTACTGTTTTTAGGGCAGTAAAATCCATCCTTGCAATGAAATTTGACTTTTCAATATAAGTGTTTGGTAGAAAAATTTCGTTGCTCACTTTAAAGAGAACACTGAATAATATTGTTTTTGACAGCTTCTAGTATATATTTTAGAATCAAATCTGAGAAATTTTATTTTCATCATATGAATTAACAAAAAAAAAATTTAAAGGATAACAAATAAATGTAAGAATATGAAATGATCAACTGTATCATCTTCGTTTCGACTAAATTCCACACGAACTACAATAGTAATCATTCTTGAGAATGGGAAGAGAATTCACATATCCATAAACAACCAAGGCAGGGGAAACTATTATGTACACTAAAGTCAGCATTAGGAGGACATGCTCATGCTCTAGTGACTAGTGGGAATAATTACTTTATTCACGGGAGTCTTGAGGGATTCCAATTATGGAATTTTAGCTTAAAATACTCAAAATGTAAAAGGAAGTTTTGTTTAAACGAAAATATTCAAATTCCAAAATGGAGTCTTAATTTTCTTTATCAGCCCTTTTCGATGTTTAAAATAGGGGTACAAAATATTTGCTCTTTGGAAATACCTTGCCAAAACGTCGCCTATTTTTCCTTGCAGTGATGATGTTACAAATGTCACGGTCGATGCTCCTGAACACTGTGTGGAAAGGTATTGAAAGTGCATTGTGCAGAACATTGTTTCTCTTTTTCCATAAGTGGAAAACCGTAGAATGAGCAGCAATTCGTCTAAAGAGAGAAGGGGCACAGTGAGAGAAATTTGCTCTTTTTGCTTATCTTATCTTATAATTCATCTGTTTCCAAATAATTAATTTTCTAGATTTTT